AATACAAAAAAAAAAAAAAAAAAAAAAAAAAAAAAAAAAAAAAAAAATATTTGACAATCATGGTTAACAAATTAAGAAAACAGAGCGATTTGGTTGTCGATATTTTCAACTAGTATATTATATTCCAACTGGTTTAGTATAGATCTCCATTGTTTGTTAATGAGTTTGTGATAGATTAACTCTTTTCGAAGCAACTTAAAAAGATAGTTAAGGTATTTGCCAATATATTCTTCACTAACAGCATTGTTATCTATGTAAAACGTTGTCTCTAATCGTAACAAACCTGTTTCCAAGCTATCGTTTATACTATTCCTAAATTGCTCATCTGGTTTGTATAACCAATTTGATATTTGGCTTCCAATCTTACCTTCTACACTAGGTCTCGGATAGATTAAAGAAGCTTATTATAGAAATTATATCGAATTCTTAAGCAATTATTGATATGGATGAAGGCAAAGCAGTTCTTCCCAGCTAGTTTGTTGTTATCAATTATTACTTAGTCTCATTCATTTTTAGTTCTTTCTATCACATAATCCATGAATTCTTCTTTGCCAATAACACCAGTAAAGTCATGGGCAAAATCGAAATGGTAAATTTAGATACGTTTTTCTTTAAAGGTTTAAATAGCTTTTTCGTTAGCAATTAATGCGACCTTAATGTATTGTTAAAAAAACTCATCTTTTTTTTTTTTTTTTTTTTTTTGATGAATGTTGACTTAAACATTAACAATATGCTCAGCTAGTACTCTTTTAATATTGGCTATATACTCAGCAAGGAATTCGCTAAGAACTATCTTTTTGGTATTATCACTAATTGAAACTAGGAAATAGAGTATAATGTTAATGCACAATCATTCCACTTAATACTTTTTAGAGGATATTTGGTAGTAGATCCTGCCGTTTAATCTATTTTATAGATGTCGTTACTGTTAATGCTCTAGGTGAGGATATAAAACATGGTCTAAGGACCAGCCTTCTTGTGTTGTACGTGGTTTAATGGGATTTTCATAGACTACTTACTAATGTCTGTTAGACGAATCTCTTTCCTCCTGTGGAAATCTAGTCTTGGCAATTCTATTTGGTTTCCAGTAAAAAAGTTAAGTGCACAGATGTTCTTGTGCTAGTTTAATGTCTTAGATGCCTTGTGAATCGTGCCAAAAATAGTTGGATGCCTTGTGAATCGTTAATTAATAGACCTTGCCTGCAGATGATTCTACGCAAGTAGTATTTCAAGAGGACCCATGACTTGCCAATCTTACTATCTTACACTAGTTCGTTTAAGGAATGTGTGATGACTTTGAGATATAATTTGTTTGATGTCATTGTGCATAGCATTTTTGGTGGTATTGACACAGTTGAAATCATAATGATGAATGTACTAGTTAGTAGTCTTTTGGGACTTCTCTTTACCTGCTATTTTAATTCCAAAAGCCAATGCTTGTAGAAACAAAGCAGTATATGAAGTATTCAATAAGAATAATGAAAATTCAATAAAGGTAATACAAGAAAAATTTGTTTTAAATTTCAAAATATTTCATACTTGTAAATTTTCTGGATCTAATATAAGAAAAAAACATTAAAATAGTGAAATAATTAAAAATCAAGTAAATTTACGTATTTTCTTTCTTTTTTTTTTTTTGGCGATTTTTAAGAGCAATTCACAAATTAACAAAAGATATATACCAATATCTTAAAATTTTATTTTAGAAAAATGAAATAAATACAATATTTAGCATTTTCATCATGTTTAATGATATTAAAAAAGATTTGATAAAAATCTATAGAAGAGATTATTGGTGGAACATGCTTTTTAAAAAACAGATTATTTTGGCGGGATTTCAAATTGTATAAAATATGCGATATGAAAACAAATATTTATTTTTTTGTGCTTTGATGAATTATTGATGATTAAAGTTTATTATCGTTTGTTATTTTTTTTTGATTTTTTTTAATAAATAGATACATTTTACTATTCTCTTTATCATGTGAAGTAATTTTTTTCCCGCCAATTATAACATCACAACTTTAAAAGTAAGTTCTATCCCATTATAACATACAATATTTAGTCTCCGACCTTTCTCATCCAAAAATCACTGCTGCATACATCTTTTTTAATGATAATTTTCATTTTCAACTTGATCATGTTTAATTATCATTAAAATAGTATCCAAATTATTATTTACGCTCTTTTCAATGCTTTTAAAAGCTTTTTCCCTGCTCATTAATCTTATTTGGCCCTAATATTTAAAAAAATATTTAGTTACATAATAATTGTAATTGACATTGATCACTGTGCTTTATTTTTATGGAACATTGAAGATTTGTTTCTGAGAGTTAACATTCCACATTTTTCTTTTTTTGAAATAGCAAACCTTAAGCATAAGTCCACTTTTAATATTTTACATTCAATCAATAAAAATTAAAATTTTGGTATTACTTTGATTAACTTTTTATTTAATAAAAGTAAACTTGTTTTTTTTTTTTTTTTTTTTTTTTGTATTTTGCTATATTCACTTTTAACTTTTTTCAAATTCAAATTAATTATTATAACCAAAAAAAAGAAATATAAGGTGATAAAATACACATTATTTTAAGTGTTAAGTCACCATTTTATAATTATTGATGATTTAAAAAAAATCAGGAAGTAAATTTCTATTTTATTTATATTTTTAACTTACATAAGTTATTATGAACTCAATACTTTTAGACGTAGCAAATAAAAATAATACAGTTGTTGATTCCATTAAAACTATTTTTAAATAAAATGCATTATATTTAATTTTGGTTATCTTGAATGAATTTTTTTTTGCTAAAAATTTGGAGAAAGTGACTATGATAATTTACTCGACATAAGTAGATATATCATTTGGTAAAATTGGTAACAAAATTAATTTATAAACTCATTCCAAATCCAATTCTTTCGTAATTTTTTTTTTTTTCAATTTGTAATTGAATTCTTTTGTTATTTAATTTTCTTCTTATCTTTATGAGATAATTAATATCTCTAGATTTACCTTACAATTAACATAAAAACATATTTTTTTAACTATTTCTTTCAATTTTTAAAGAAATTTAATTTTTCCTTAAAAGATATTCCCATGTTAATTTCACTAATTCAAATATTTAATTGGAATTTCAATATTTACGATGCAAATTTGATAGATCCTCTTCAAAAAATTGAGAACATAGCCAGTATTTCTAATATATCTGAATGAATTTATGCAAAAAAACAACCAAAGATAAATTCAAATCATATTTTTCCAAATCAAATCCTATTATACAATCGTTTCAGCGTAGTGATGAGCCATGGATCGACTTTGTTGATACAAATGAAATTCTATATTCGATTTTAGTTTGTTTTATAATCCTATTGTCAATAATTTATACCGGACTGAATATTCGACCTCAAACAATATACCAACAATTTAATAAGAGTTATATTACCAGACAAAGGACATCTTTGAGACGCCAAATAACTTTTATTATCACACCGCTTACTAATTATAACAGATATATTCGTATATACATTTCTTTTGAAAAGCATGATTTTATTTTGAGTCCTCTTTTCAGAGAAATTAATATTGAATATGGTATTACTCAATATTTTGAAAACCAACGCAAAAAGACAAAATACAATAAATTACACTTAGATTGCTCAATTAATAAAGATGAAAATATATCAGAGAAATTCATTCTTTTTACTGATTATTTCATAAACGGCAGATTTTTAGATGTAAACATAGTTGTTCCAGATGCAGACAACGCAACTTTCTGCAAATACATTGTTGATGTTTATTGTGGGAGTAATGAATATACAACATTCAAAATGTATTTTAGTTACCTTTTCATTATTATCTTTATTTTCTACTTGCTTTCATTTGATTTTTTTATTTCATCACACTTGAATCTTCAATTTCTTTTTTTACTGCTCGTTTCAATAATTTTATCAAATAATCCATTTTATTTTTTACATGTTTCCAACACGCAAAAATTTTACTACATATTTTCGTCATTTTCTGGGCCCATTTGTGATGCATTTATTTACTTTTCCACCTTGTTTTTTCTTGAAATTTATATAATTAGGATTCATTCAAAAAGTGAGAAAAAGTTCACAGAAAAAGTTCTAGTTTTCTCCTTTTTATCATTTTTTTATTTTATAGTTTCCTTCTTCAAAGATATCGCCATTCTACAGTATTTCAAACTAGAAAATTTCCCAAACACAAACAATGAAAAGATTCTCAACTCAATCGTTAAAGGTGTTTCAGTTTTCAGATGTTTCCTCGGAATTATAGAATTCATTTTAGTTTTAGTAAAAATCTGCAAAATTGAACATAAAAGTGCTAGCTTATTGGCTTTTTTGTTCTTAGCCGCTCTTTCCTTTATCCAACAATGCCTGATTGATGGAGTTTTGAACTTTATATATTCACATTTCTATAATGATAGAGAACAGAACAAATTACATACGGCAAAATTTATAATTCAGAACATATTTGTCTTATTCACTACTTACGTTCACTGGCCATACAGAAAAAGAGAGAAAGTTGAAATTACTGAAAACATACCATAGAATATTATTTGTTTTTAATAAATTTATTTGAAATATAATTCATCTTTATTTTTTTTTTTCTAATTATATCTTCTCTTTTGAAAAGGGGAATCGAAAAAACCTGTTTTCATTTTTCAATATCATTCAATTTTTTTCTGAATAGCATTGAAAATTGAAAGCTGGTCATTCAATTTTGAAATAAATAGTATTTGATGAATAACATTAACCATATGGCTTTTGGTTCTCAAAAAGTTTATTTTTCGAAATTTAAAACAATTATTTTTTTTTTTTGAAAAGAGTTGGTTTCATTTGATTTTGATTTTCAAAAAAAGTTTAATTGAATCAAAAATAACTTAATTTACATCATCTTCATATATTACATATATATTTTTGTTCATTTTCAATAAATTAATCATCTATCAATTGAGAATACCATTAATTAAAAATATAAAAAATGCATTTGACGGGATTCGAACCCGCAATCCTCAGATTAAAAGTCTGATGCCGTAACCGTTTAGCCACAAATGCTTTCTTGATAATTACATAAATACTCATAAATATTCAACACCATTAAAAATTGGCTTCTAAATTACTCATTTTGTTGACTTATTATAAAGAAAAATCGAGAAAGTTATTCACTTTTTATCATGAATTTATTATAAATAATGGAAGTAAATATAATAGAACCCAACATTTTTAAATTATGAATATTTTCATATCAAATATGAAATAAATTCGTATTTCTGAAAATTTTTGAATTATAAATCGATTTAAAATATCTGGTTATTAAGCAATGTTAAATAAAAATGACACGTTAAAGGCAAAAAAATGTAATTAACCTAAGTGAAAGAGTGAAAGATAGGTGGGATTCTCTTTTTTTGACCTCAAAAAGTTTCAATATCTCTTTGAATTTTAGATTTTATTTTGCGTTTTTAATATATTTTCTCATTCATTTGATACTATTTAAAAGGATCATTGAAACAAATCAAATAACATAATATTCATCAAGTTTTTTTGAATTCACAAACTAAAAGATCTTTCCTCATAAAAGATATTCTTCAAAACTACTAATATTATTTGATTTTATGCATATATAATATCCATTATATATCATGAATATTAATAATTACTTTGTAGTTATAACAAAAAAGTTAAAATAATAATCATTTTGAAGTTTTTTCGATACATGATCTTTTCTAACTATTTAGTTTGGAATATTCGATTTCTTCTTTTCATACTCAATAAAATGATATATTTTGTTTGAACATAACTTCAAAGATAAAGTTTAGTTTGATAAATGAATTCAAAAAGTTGAATTAATAAACGGAATGATTCAATTTTCGGCTCTTAGAAAATTATAAACGACCAAACTCAATATTTTTATTTTAAAATATATTACATGAGTAGGGAATATTATTTAAATTAATGTTCCTCCATTTATAAAACAAAAAAAAAAATTCGAAATGACCATTTTTTCCCAAATTATTTTTTTATTGAAAATAAAATGCGATTATCTAATTCACCTTTGATGATTTTGAATTTATAAATAGTAAATTTCATATAAATATTTATAATCTATTTAATTACAAAATAATTAGAAAAAGTCTTTGATAGCTTACACATGAAAGAGATTACCAAAACGGTTTTTATAAACAAAATTATCCTAAACGATTAATAATGCACTAGGCTAAACTATTTTAAAAATGATCATATCTTTTTTCCTACAACCAAAAACATATATATATTAATAAAATATTTAAGTTATCTCTTATAGAATAAATATATAAATTTTTAATTAAAAATCACCAACTTCAAGCTTTCGAGTCTTCTTAAAAAGTGCCAAATATTTGATAGAAAATCAATAGAAAATATAGTTGAATTAAAGCAATAGGAATTATATTTCAAAAAGCCATTTTAATTTTCGTTTTTGAATAAATTAATTGAAAATATTTTTTTTTCTGGAAAGTGAAGTGAGAGATTTTTTAATGCTATTTTAGACTGATGTTAATAAATTTGAGCATTTTTATATATTTTATTTTTTTAATATAATATATGATACAATAATCAATTAAAATAATCAAATTATATGAAAAATTCATGAGAAAAATTTATTTTATATTGTCAAACAATTGAAACAAACTTGTCCAGAAAACGATTTTGTAAACTCACAATTTTTCATTAAACTGCATCTCAAAAGTCGGGCCTGTTTTGACCTATATTTGACCAAAAATTTGGCGGGAAATTTATAAACAATTCAAATGTACTACTGTAAACTATTCAAAAATGGCCTGAGTTTTGACTCATTCAATTTTAAAATCTTAAGAAAAAAATCATTAAAATCATATTTTTATTAAGCAAAAAATGATAAATAAGGAAATTAATGAACTACATGAAATAATGAAAGACAATTATCATATAAATTTGATTTTTTGATTGTTTAAATGCACTGATATAGAGGCAATATGATAAGCTTAATAAAAAAATTGATTTCTGCATAATAAAATTACGAAAACATTTGTAAATCCATATCCTGTGAATATTTTTTGCATCAGTCAGCAAGATATGAAAAATTATTATGTATCAGATTTGGAATGCGAATTAATATTTTCGTAAATATTTGGATTTAGAATCGGATTTACTAGATTGAAAGCGAATTCCGATTGGGAATTATGTGATTTTTCCGAATAAAAACTTGATTCCATTCATGAAAATTTGATTTTTAGATTTTTCAATATCTATTTATTTGTGAGAAAAAAATGAAAAAATATAGAAATTGTGAGAAAATATTTATTCCAAAAAAATTGAGACAAAAAAATGGGGGCCTGATTTTTGATTTTAAGTAGGATGGGTATTTCTATGAGTTAATACAAATTTTGTTTCTCAAAATTGAATTGAAAGAAAAAATATCAAATATTTATATCTTGCTAAATTATTGATAAATTCAATAATTAAATATATATTTATTTTCATTTAATATAAAATAATAACAATTTAATATAATAACAATTTAATAAATTATTAAATGCTTAAAATTATTTATTATTAGAATTTTGAATATATTAGATCTCCTTTCAAAAAATAAAAAGATTCCTCTAAAAAAGTTTCAATATTTCAGAAGATTCCTCTAAAAAAGTTTAATTCTCAAATTTGTTAAGATAATTCAAAATTTGTGAAAATTCTCAGAGCTTACACAAATTTTATTAACCAGCCTAATTTTAAGTTTATTGTTTTCATTTTCAAAGGATTAAATTCAAAGAGTTAATACAAAAATATTATAACTAAAACTTGAATTATTGTCTTTTCAGCGTTGAATCTTTCTAAAAAAATAAGATTTAAAACGCTATTTAGTTATAATACTTTTATTTACTAATTAACTATCTTATAATAACGTAAATCTAATAATTTAAATTACTAAAAAGTTCATAATTATCATAGTAACAATCTTGATAGCCGTAATCAATAATATCATCATTAATTTTATCGTGCATTTGGTCAAAAACATTTTCAATTTTTTCATCTTCATCATTGAATTTCGAATCTGAATCTGAAAAGCTTTTCTTTGACTTTTTATCCGAATTAAACAAATGCCATTTTCTACAAACAGTGTAGTTATATCTGTTTTTTATAGAATTTGCTGTCCTAGATGGAAAGAATCGTTGGATTTTTGCCCATTGAGGTCCAAATTCGAGGTATTTTTCAGCTAGAAGCATATCTTCCTCATCTGACCATTCAGAGTGAACAAACCCAGGAGCTAAATAATTCATATATCGATCTCGACATTGTCTTGATGTTTTATTTGGCATCATTGATGCTATTAATCTCCAGTTCTTTGGCCCAAAAATACCTACGATGTTTTTCAAAAGAATATCTTCTTCGTCAGAAAACTTTTTATATAATGTTTTCTTTTGATTAGCCCCCTTTATCGGTGCATTATCATTATTTTTATCACTTGAAGCCGATTCATTTTTATCATTTTTGGTTACAGATATGTCAAAAGGAATATGATATTTGTCAATTAGTTTGATCATTGAATTTAGAAACTTAGGATTAATTTTATGGCTTTGAGCACAATAATTACTGAATGATGAAAACTTGTGTAAAAATCTCAGACAGACATTTGCTGAATCATTTTGCTGATTATTCTCTATTGAAATTGGTGCGAATAAACTCGACTCTCCTTGAGTGGATTGCATGCCATCATTCTGGTTTAATGTTCCATCTAATTGTTTATTTGCATTCATATCTGTTTGAGCAATTAAAAAAGACCGATAATTTTCCATATTTTCTGAGGCTTTGAAATCATTATTGATTGCTTGCGGATTTACTATTTGATTCATACTGAATGAATTCATATAGGACTTCACCACCTAAAAAAAAAATACTACTCACCTGTATTTCCTTTTAAAATTCAATATACTTTTATGGATGCGATTTTCTACTCAATTTTTATTGAAATTTTTTTTTTTTTTAGATAAATTTAATTGAAAAATTGATTCAAAAAATCTGGTTCTTGATTCAATTTAAGAATTGATTGTTAGTTTTATTACATTCGTTACAAAATTTCATATGATGATCGTATTTTGAAAAGGATTATCTTAATATTTTTTTCAAATAAATTCTTCCATGAATTATTATTGTTTCATAAAAGATTATTATTAAATGGGGCAATATTTTTCTGTTTCTTTGAAATCTATTCAAATTTTCCGATACTCTCTTTCAAAAACTCAAAGCACAATTCAGAAATAATAATGTAATATGTTTCAAATTCCGATTCTCTTAAGAATATTTGAGACCATTCAAAATTTATATATAATTACATTATCCACCAATTTACATGTATTTTTAATATATTTTCATAAAATACATATGAAAATCAATATGGATAGCATATTATTTTTGTCGTTTTAGAAAAGATTTTTAATATCTGATATATCAATGTTATATTTTTTTAAATATATCCTAATATTGCTGAATTAATAATGCAATTTATCATCATATTATATTATAGATTGATATATTATAGCATTATTTAAATCATTTGTAATATATTCTTCAATGAATTTTAAATAATTAATAATTATCTCATGATAACTAAATATATTATACATTATTACCTAATTTTGAATGTTTCATTACCATTTAACTTATATAGATTTAATATTTGATACCAATAATTTTTAAAAATAATATGAATATGATGAATTTAATGAATATTAATATAAATGTATTCCTTAAATGTTTTTTTATGTGACTAAAATGCCGATGAAAAATTTAAAACAAGAAAAAAGATAGTTTAATTGTATAAAATTATTGAAAAAGATTATATTAATTCAATTTTAAATCAACAGTTTTATAATATAAAAATATTTTTTTTCAAAAATTAAATATATCAACTTTTTGTTAAAAAAAGATTTTACACATTCACAAAAGGTGTTTTTCTTTTATCAAATATCGTTTTATTTTCAATGATCTATCAATTAAATGCTTGAGCATTATTTTACATTAATCTCATTTTTTTTTTAACTCCC